TTCACACGTAACGCACGCCCCCACATGTTACAGCACGTCACGCATAGGGGGGCCCATTCACTTCACAAGTAACAAACGCCCCCGCATGTTACAGCACGTCACGCATAGGGGGTCCCATTCACTTCACAAGTAACAAACGCCCCCGCATGTTACAGCACGTCACGCATAGGGGGGCTCATTCACTTCACACGTAACGCACGCCCCCACATGTTACAGCACGTCACGCATAGGGGGTCCCATTCACTTCACACGCAACAAACGCCCCCGCATGTTACAGCACGTCACGCATAGGGGGTCCCATTCGCTTTACACGTAACGCACGCCCCCACATGTTACAGCACGTCACGCATAGGGGGGCCCATTCACGTCACACGTAACAAACGCCCCCGCATGTTACAGCACGTCACGCATAGGGGGGCCATTCACTTCACACGTAACAAACGCCCCCGCATGTTACAGCACGTCACGCATAGGGGGGCCCATTCACTTCACACGTAACAAACGCCCCCGCATGTTACAGCACGTCACGCATAGGGGGCCCCATTCACTTCACACGCAACAAACGCCCCCGCATGTTACAGCATGTCACGCATAGGGGGGCCCATTCACTTCACACGCAACAAACGCCCCCGCATGTTAAAGCACGTCACGCATAGGGGGGCCCATTCGCTTCCCCACGTAACAAACGCCCCCGCATGTTACAGCACGTCACGCATAGGGGGGCCCATTTACTTCACACGTAACAAACGCCTTCGCGTGTTACAGCACGTCACGCATAGGGGGGCCCATTCACTTCACACGTAACAAACGCCCCCGCATGTTACAGCACGTCACGCATAGGGGGGCCCATTCACTTCACACGCAACAAAACGCCCCCGCATGTTACACCACGTCACGCATAGGGGGGCCCTTTGCTTCCCATGTAATAAACGCCCCAAAGCCGCTCCAGAACCTTTTCACTGGTTGAGTGTCGCGCTTTTTTTCAGTCACGTGACAAACCTGCGGCAAATTGCACATCTGCTAGCTGCGTTTTGTTTGTTAACAATGAATGGCAGCGCAAGCGTGACCCGCGCATGTGCGGCACATTTCCGAAATTGCGTCTGCGTGTCTCGTCGCGCGTTTAAGAACTTTGCCGGTGTAAATGAAGCCTTGGGCCCCGTTCACATTTGGACATTTGCAATCCCAAAAACCTCAAAAAAAACGCTCTGCAAAAAATGACGCAACGCAGCGTGACCGTTCGGGTGTCATTGATTCTCCAAGGCACCAAAACGCGGTGCGATTCTGCCGCAATTGTCGCAGATAAATCAAGCTGCGATCCTGGAAAACCGCATTGCGCAAAGCTGGTCGCCCAATAGGCGCAGGTGTGGTGAAAAGACTCTGTGCGATGCGGTTTGCTACAATTGCAGCGCGACTTATCGCCGAAGAAACGCACCGCGTTTTCCATTGAAAATGAAGGACACCTGAACAGGCGTGGGGCAATTTTTTGTTGATTTTGCAGAGCGTTTTGGGATCGCAAGCAGAATCGCCGCAGTTCTGCCTGAGATCGCAAACGCCCAGATGTGAACGGGGCCTAAGTGTCTGCATTTTTTTTTAGATTGGTTGTTGGGGTTGTGACGTTATAATCTGTGTCCCCATCTCCTTCATTTTCCCCGTGTCACCAAGACAGGAAGGTGTGGAGTGGAGAGTAAGAAATCCCCTCCTCCACTCTGCTAGCAACCTTTTTGTGTTCCCATTGGAGGAGAGATTTCTCGTCACTTCCTGAGAAGAGGAGAAAGTGGAATTCTGGGTGGATATAAAAATACAAATGCATGGAGATCTGTAATCATTAACCCCTCCCCCTCCAGAGGATTCCCCCCTCCCCCTCCAGAGGATTCCCCCCTCCCCCTCCAGAGGATTCCCCCCTTCCTGACCAGGCACTCGGCCTCCACCGTCAACTCGGCCTCCACCGTCAACTCGGCCTCCACCGTCAACTCGGCCTCCACCGTCAACTCGGCCTCCACCGTCATCTCGCCCTCCACCGTCATCTCGCCCTCCACCGTCATCTCGCCCTCCACCGTCATCTCGCCCTCCACCGTCATCTCGCCCTCCACCGTCAACTCGCCCTCCACTCGCCCTCCACCGTCAACTCGCCCTCCACCGTCAACTCCCCCTCCACCGTCAACTTGCCCTCCACCGTCAACTCCCCCTCCACCGTCAACTCCCCCTCCACCGTCAACTCCCCCTCCACCGTCAACTCGCCCTCCACCGTCAACTCGCCCTCCACTCCCCCTCCACCGTCAACTCGCCCTCCACCGTCAACTCGGCCTCCACCGTCAACTCGCCCTCCACCGTCAACTCGCCCTCCACCGTCAACTCGCCCTCCACCGTCAACTCGCCCTCCACCGTCAACTCGCCCTCCAGAGGATTTACCCCCCTTCCCGACCAGGCCAATTTTTGCATTACTTTGACAATTGCGCGGTCATGCAACGCCGCACCCAAATGAAATTTGCATCTTTTTTTTCCCACGAATTGAGCTTTCTTTCGGTGATATTTGATCCCCTGTGCGGAAATTTTTTTTTTTATTTTTTGCGCTAAAAAAAAAAAGACCAACAATTTTGAGGAAAAAAACAGTATTTTCAACATTTTGCTATAAAACACGTCCAGTAAAAAAAATTTCAAAAATCAAATTTCATCATAAATTTCGTCCAAAATGTATTCCGCTCCATGACTTTGCTAAAAAAAAATCCCAATATGTGTAAATTAATTGGTTTACGTGACAGTTCTAGCGCTTACAAATGGCGGTATATATACTGGGAGTTTTTTTTTCTACTAGTAATGGTGGCGATCAGCGACTTATAGAGGGACTGCGGTGGACATTCTGACACTGGGGGGGGGGGGGGGGGGGGGGGACTGACTTGGTGTCACTGACATCCTCAGTGACACCAATATAGTGATCAGTGCTAATAAAAAAAAGAAAAAAAAAAAAAAGCATGGACACTGTACTAATGGCACTGGGCAGGAAGGGGTTAACATGAGGGGCGATCAAAGGGTTAACTATGTGCTGGGAGTGTTTCACCAGGGGCGGGGTCTGTGTGCTTCACTGTAATCACACTGCTCTGGATGGCTGTGCTGTGCAGTGTGCCCAAGCCGACAGGGAGGAGGACTGTTAGGAAACAAGACAGTCCTCCTCCCTGTCGGTGATCATCGGAAATCACCGGGGCGCCGGAGAGTAATTACCAGGACCCGGTGATTGACAGCCGTAGCCGCGAATGGCGGCACAGGTAGGGCGCGCCCCCCCTACCCGGAAATGCGAAATCACGTATATATACTGCGCACCCGTGCCGCCCTGTAGCAGTATTTCTTCGGTCGGGAAGCGGTTAATAATTAATAAATATTTAAATTTTAAAAAATAAATAATTACGTTTGTTGCTGAATACAAGCATGTGACCCGGTATCGGCCCCCCGCCAGTCCCCCGTACAGCAGGGCTTGTGCGTGAGAGGAAGGAGCAGCACAGGGAGCCAATCAGGTCATGTGCTGCAATGCAAGGCCCATGCTGATAGGAGGAAAAGATGAGCTCATCGCTGTGCTGCTTCTTCTCTCACTGGCCAGTGTTGGGGGCTGGTCCGGGACAACCTGGGCTCAGAGGAAGTGGGTTGGATCTTCACCTGCATCTCCCATCAGACTGAAGACATGTAGTGAAGTCTCTGGACTGAAGGTGAATGTTGCAGCAAACGTTGTTGTCATTTTATAATCTGATGGGCGTCTATTTTTAATCTTGTTATTTTTAGCCAGACAGGGGCGTCCCTAGGGTTGGTGTCACCCGATAACACTTGGTGACACCCCGTCTGACGGTCCCCGCAGGATGGATGGGATCTGCGGATTGGGGAGCATAATGGATCGGACTCCGATCCATGATGCTCAATCCGCAGATCCCATCCATCCTGTGGGGATCGTTGGCTTGCTTTACAACTTACCTTTTTGTGGATCGGGTCCGGTGTCACCCGGTGCGGCACGCACCCCCCACACCTGCCTGGGGACGACCCTGAGCTGGAGTTCTGCTTTAATGCAGTTGTAAAGGAGATATATATATAAAGCATGGATTATTTTCCTGCTCTGTGCAATAATTTAGCACAGAGCTTCCCCGAACCCCCTCTTTTGGGGTCCCCTGCCAGCGTTCTTGGCTCCTCCTCTTTTGGGTTCCCCTGCCGGCGCTCTTGGCTCCTCCTCTTTTGGGTTCCCCTGCCGGCGCTCTTGGCTCCTCCTCTTTTGGGTTCCCCTGCCGGCGCTCTTGGCTCCTCCTCTTTTGGGTTCCCCTGCCGGCGCTCTTGGCTCCTCCTCCTTTCCATTCACCTAAACTGCTGCTTCCTATGGGGGCACACATGTGGGCTCGCTCCTGATCCGGGCTGTGTGTGGCTATAGGCTGTGTACAGAGCACCTGGGAGCAACACAGGGACCATGACAGTGTAACGTGTTGACACGGCCATTATTTTCCAGAGAGACAGAGACAATCACACAATACACAGACAGGCGGGTCGTTTTACAGCGTTTATTAGACACACGCACGCTACAATCGGCTGTACCTAAATCTCTGCGACACGGAGGGCCGACACCATCCTCATCCTCATCTTCATCAGAGCAATCGTAGTGCAGACGGCTCACTGACCGCAAAAGTCGTGAAACCGCACGGAGGCCGCGTCCTCGCCATTTGTACAGTATCCATACACCGTGTCTTCACCGACACATCGATTCACGCAACACAATTGTCCGCTTTTCTGAAAATGCGCATTTACCACAGATTCGCCGCATCATTAAAAAAAAAAAATTACAATTTAAAAAAAAAAAAAAACCGCAAAAACAGCAGAATATTTACAAATATATATATAAGTGGTGATTCCCAATAAGAGTCTGGTGTCCCTCCGAGCGTCATATCCCGTCTGTGAGATCCGCCCTCTGAGGAGGGGGAGGGGCTCGGAGGGGAACGCAGGTTATAAATAATGGCGGAGAGACGGCGGGCGACCAATCAGTTCTTCTTGTGGAGGAATTTCATCTTGTTCCCTGTAAGAGATTCAGACAGTCAGTGTGATGGAGAGAAAATCGGAAGGTGCAAAGCCGGGGTGTGTGCGCCGCGAGGCGTCTGCCTATGGCGGTATTTTCCAGGGGCGCGGCACCGCTCCCCCCCCCCCCCACCCCCCCACCAGAAGGGACAGTGGCAGTTGGTGACTGCAAAGCAGAAGATCCACAAGAGGCAGCTGGATAGAGGAGGACGACACAGGCTGGGGCTGTTGGAGGGTGTCCGATTGTCCGAGGTGGGGGGTTCGGTCAGGGGGCGGAGGGAGGGGTGGGACTAAACCGAAATACATGGATGGTATATACTGTATACGGTTAGTGTGAGGTATCGGAGATCGGGAATAAAAGAGCAGAGGAGATAAATACATCTCAGGAAGGAGAGATACAATGTAACAATTGTAGAGAACGCTGGAGGGAATGAGCAGATAAATGGAACCATTGCTACTCCGGGATCCCCATTTATCTGCTCATTCCCTCCAGCGTTCTCTACAATTGTTACATTGTATCTCTCCTTCCTGAGATGTATTTATCTCCTCTGCTCTTTTATGCCTTCGCTCCATCTAGTGGCCATAATGTGGTATTTTCCTGATCCACTCGTGTCTCGTTCTCAGTCCTCGTCTCCCCGCCCGTGTCTCGTTCTCTCAGTCCTCGTCTCCCCGCCCGTGTCTCGTTCTCAGTCCTCGTCTCCCCGCCCGTGTCTCGTTCTCAGTCCTCGTCTCCCCGCCCCCGTGTCTCGTTCTCAGTCCTCGTCTCCCCGCCCGTGTCTCGTTCTCAGTCCTCGTCTCCCCGCCCGTGTCTCGTTCTCAGTCCTCGTCTCCCCGCCCGTGTCTCGTTCTCAGTCCTCGTCTCCCCGCCCGTGTCTCGTTCTCAGTCCTCGTCTCCCCGCCCGTGTCTCGTTCTCAGTCCTCGTCTCCCCGCCCGTGTCTCGTTCTCAGTCCTCGTCTCCCCGCCCCCGTGTCTCGTTCTCAGTCCTCGTCTCCCCGCCCGTGTCTCGTTCTCAGTCCTCGTCTCCCCGCCCGTGTCTCGTTCTCAGTCCTCGTCTCCCCGCCCGTGTCTCGTTCTCAGTCCTCGTCTCCCCGCCCGTGTCTCGTTCTCAGTCCTCGTCTCCCCGCCCGTGTCTCGTTCTCAGTCCTCGTCTCCCCGCCCGTGTCTCGTTCTCAGTCCTTATGTCTCGTTCTCAGTCCTCCCATCCCCTCCCGTGTCTCGTTCTCAGTCCTCGTCTCCCCGCCCGTGTCTCGTTCTCAGTCCTCGCCTCCCCGCCCGTGTCTCGTTCTCAGTCCTCCCCTCCCCGCCCGTGTCTCGTTCTCAGTCCTCGTCTCCCCGCCCGTGTCTCGTTCTCAGTCCTCGTCTCCCCGCCCGTGTCTCGTTCTCAGTCCTCGTTCTCCCCGCCCTCAGTCCTCGTCTCCCCGCCCTCAGTCCTCGTGTCTCGCTCTCAGTCCTCGTGTCTCGCTCTCAGTCCTCGTGTCTCGCTCTCAGTCCTCGTCTGTCTCGCTCTCAGTCCTCGTGTCTCGCTCTCAGTCCTCGTGTCTCGCTCTCAGTCCTCGTGTCTCGCTCTCAGTCCTCGTGTCTCGCTCTCAGTCCTCGTGTCTCGCTCTCAGTCCTCGTGTCTCGCTCTCAGTCCTCGTGTCTCGCTCTCAGTCCTCGTGTCTCGCTCTCAGTCCTCGTGTCTCGCTCTCAGTCCTCGTGTCTCGCTCTCAGTCCTCGTGTCTCGCTCTCAGTCCTCGTGTCTCGCTCTCAGTCCTCGTCTCCCCGCTCGTGTCTCGTTCTCAGTCCTTATGTCTCGTTCTCAGTCCTCGTCTCCCCGCTCGTGTCTCGTTCTCAGTCCTCGTCTCCCCGCTCCTGTCTCGTTCTCAGTCCTCCCATCCCCTCCCCTCCCGTGTCTCGTTCTCAGTCCTCGTCTCCCCGCTCCTGTCTCGTTCTCAGTCCTCGTCTCTCCGCTCGTGTCTCGTTCTCAGTCCTCGCCTCCCCGCCCGTGTCTCGTTCTCAGCCCTCGTCTCCCCTCCCGTGTCTCATTCTCAGTCCTCCTCTCCCCGCTCGTGTCTCGTTCTCAGTCCTCGTCTCCCCGCTCGTGTCTCGTTCTCAGTCCTCGTCTCCCCGCCCGTGTCTCGTTCTCAGTCCTCGTCTCCCCGCCCGTGTCTCGTTCTCAGTCCTCGTCTCCCCGCCCGTGTCTCGTTCTCAGTCCTCGTCTCCCCGCCCGTCTCGTTCTCAGTCCTCGTCTCCCCCGCCCGTGTCTCGTTCTCAGTCCTCGTCTCCCCGCCCGTGTCTCGTTCTCAGTCCTCGTCTCCCCGCCCGTCTCGTTCTCAGTCCTCATCTCCCCGCTCGTGTCTCATTCTCAGTCCTCGCCTCCCCACTCGTGTCTCATTCTCAGTCCTCGTCTCCCCGCCCGTGTCTCATTCTCAGTCCTCGTCTCCCCGCCCGTGTCTCATTCTCAGTCCTCGTCTCCCCGCCCGTGTCTCATTCTCAGTCCTCGTCTCCCCGCTCCTGTCTCATTCTCAGTCCTCGTCTCCCTGCTTGTGTCTCATTCTCAGTCCTCGTCTCCCCGCCCGTGTCTCATTCTCAGTCCTCGTCTCCCCGCCCGTGTCTCATTCTCAGTCCTCGTCTCCCCGCCCGTGTCTCGTTCTCAGTCCTCGTCTCCCCGCCCGTGTCTCGTTCTCAGTCCTCGTCTCCCCCCCGCCCGTGTCTCGTTCTCAGTCCTCGTCTCCCCGCCCGTGTCTCGTTCTCAGTCCTCGTCTCCCCGCCCGTGTCTCATTCTCAGTCCTCGTCTCCCTGCTCTTGTCTCATTCTCAGTCCTCGTCTCCCTGCTCGTGTCTCATTCTCAGTCCTCGTCTCCCTGCTGGTGTCTCACACTTCGTCCCCGAAATGTTCTTCAATTATGGCCAACAGTTAGGTAGGTTATTTAAAAATGAACATACAGCGAATTAGGAAAGTACTGCAGTATAGCCACCAGATGGAGCCGAGGATCATAGGAAATACATCTTAGTTAGAAGAGATACTATGTAACAATTGTAACATTATGGCCACTAGATGGAGCTAAGGAATAAAAGAGCAGAGGAAATAAATACATCTCAGGAAGGAGAGATACAATGTAAGAATTGTAGAGAACGCTGGAGGGAAGAAGATAAATGGAACCATTGCTACTCCGGGATCCCCATCTATCTGCTCATTCCCTCCAGCGTTCTCAGAAATTGTTACGTTGCATTTTCCTACTAAGATCTCTTATGATCTTCAGCTCCATCTAGTGGTTGTTCTGCAGTATTTTCCCAGTTCAAGTTATGAATCTTTACCGTCGCCCCATTCCGAGAGTATGGAAGACAATCGGAGAGTGTAAGACGTGAGCAGCAGGATTGGGGTAGACTGTCTGATCTTCGCCTCTTTGGGATTTCTGATTCTCTAGACCAGGGGAAGGCAACCTGCGGCTCTCTACTATTGTGGAACTACATTTCCCATGAGGCATTGCAAAGATCACAAACTGACAGTTCCAGCTATGACTTGCAGAGGCATGATGGAACTTGTAGTCCTGCGGCTCTCAGGTTGCCTACCCCTGCTCTAGAGCATCCTGATGATGCAGGTGAAGGGATGGGGTCAGCGCAGGACACACAGAGACTGTCGCCTAAACCCCGGCGCACTCACCCAGACCTCTCCAGAACTTGTTCACTCCGCTCTGCTCGTGTTCCGGAAGCTCCTCCAGATATTGCTCCACCCTCTGCTCGAACAGTCCTGCCGAGAAAAAAAAAAAAACGGGTGTCACGGGTCTCATCCATTGAGAAAAAAATTCAAATTAAAGGGCCGGCGCCCAGTAACGGCCGCTCAGAAATCCCGCCCACCTTTTGCCCGGCATTTCCGCAGCTCGCGGTCCTGGATGAAGCCGGCGAACATCTGAGATTCCATGAACACCTCCAGGAAGCGGCGGATACTTTTGGAGGCGACGGACTTGCGGAAAGCCTCCCTCTGGAAGACTCGCTCCCCCCGCTCGCTCGTTCTGTGCCAGGAACAGGGAGTAATGGCCGATCGTTTCCACGAAGAATCGGATGAAGACCTCGGAGACCAGACCGTTCAGTGTGTTACACTCTATGGGAGAGCGGGAAACAGAGACGGTTAGAGAGCAGCCGGAGGCAGAAGACAAACAGAGAAGGAAAAAAGGAGGAGATGGGGGCAGAGAGACTGTTAGATACAAATCCAGAGACAAAGATACAAATCCAGAGACAAAGAAAGGGGGGGAGAAGGAAAGAGAGGTGGAGAGACTGTTAGAACCCAACCAGAGATAAAAAGAGTGGCAGAGCGACTGGGGGCAGAACGCAACCAGAGATAGGGAGGTAGGAAGAGACAGAGGCAGAGAGACTGTTAGAACCCAACAGAAGAGAGACAGAGGAAGGAAAAGTGGATGAGAGAGACTGTTAGAACCCAACAGAAGAGAGACAGAGGAAGGAAAAGTGGATGAGAGAGACTGTTAGAACCCAACCAGAGATAAAAATAAAAGAGGAAGGAAAGATGGCGAGAGAGAGAATGACAGGAAGAGACAGAGAAACTATTACATTGAACCCAACTGGAGGCAGGAGGAATATGGAGAAAGGGGGGAAAAGAGAGGAACAGAGACTGTTAGATCCCAACCAGAGAAAGACAAGGAGGGTAAAGGAGGGCAAGAGAGACTAACAGAAAAATACAGACACAAAGCGACTGATAGAACCCAACCAGAGTGAGAGACGGGGAGGGAAGAGATGGGGGCACAGTGACTGCTAGAACCAAACTTGAGACAGAAAAAGGACGGGGGGTAGTGTGAGAGTGACTGGAAGAGGAAGCGGCAGAGAGACTGTTAGAACATAACAAAGGATTGATAGGGGAAAGCAGAGGAGGGCAAGAGCGACTGGGGCAGAACGCAACCAGAGATAGGGAGGTAGGAAGAGACAGAGGCAGAGAGACTGTTAGAACCCAACAGAAGAGAGACAGAGGAAGGAAAAGTGGATGAGAGAGACTGTTAGAACCCAAAAAGAGAAGAGGCAGGGAGGCTGTTAGAACCCAACAGAAGAGAGACAGAGGAAGGAAAAGTCATAGGCAGAGAGACTGTTAGAACACAACAAAGGATTGATAGGGGAAAGCAAAAGAGGGCAAGAGAGATGGTGAAAAGAAGATAGAGTGGCAGAGTGACTGATGCAGAACACAACCAGAGATAGGGAGGTAGGAAGAGACAGAGGCAGAGAGACTGTTAGAATCCAAATAGAGACTGGAGGGATACGGAGGAAGGGAGCGGAAGGAAGAATCAGAGGAAGAGAGGCCAGCTGGAGGCAGAGGAGGAAAGGACAGAAAGAAGAGATTGTTACAGATGGACTGTTCTACCCACCCAGAGACAAAAGAAAGAGAGAGAGAAAGAGAAAAGAGAGACCATGGAGGCAAAGAGACTGTTCGAACCCAACCAGAGAGAAAAGAAAGGGAAGGAGGGTGAGAGCACGGCTGGGGACAAGGGGCGGGGGGGGGGGGGGGGGGGAGGTTGGGGGGTGGCTGCCCCTGGCACTGTGGTATCATGTGAGTTTGAGGCGCCTCGAGGAGACTGGGGTGGGGGGATTTGTGCTGTGAGGGGAAATTTGAAGGGCAGCAGGGGGGGTATGGTCTAGGAGGGGGAATTTAGGAGGGTGCTAGGAATTGTGATTTGGGGGGGGGGGGATATGGTAGAGGGGGGATTTGTGCTAGGGGTGGAAATATTTTTTTTTGGGGGGGGAGGATTTGTGCGAGGAGGGGGAGTTTGTGCTGGGACAGGGGATTTGAGGGGTAGAGGATTTATGCTCGGAGGAGTGATTTGTTTGGGGGGGGGGGGTTGATTTGTGCTGGGGGGATTTGCGGAGAGAGAGGATTTGAGCTGGCAGGGGGGATGGGAGGGCTAAAGATTCTTCCCAGAGTTGTGATTTGGAGGGTTTTGTGTTGAGCGGATGGATGGGAAAGAGGACTTATGCTAGGAGGAGAAATTTTTTTTTTTTGGGGGGGGGGGGGGGATTTGGAGTGGGGGAGGGTGTGTATTGGTTTTGGGGGGAGGGGGGGATTCGGAGTGGGGGAGGGTGTGTATTGGTTTTTGGGGGGAGGGGGGGATTCGGAGTGGGGGAGGGTGTGTATTGGTAGGGGAAATTTGAGGGGTAGAGAATGCTCAGAGGAGTGATTTTTTTTGGGAGGGATTTGCAGACAGAGGGGATTTGTGCTGGGAGGGAGGATTTCATCCAGGGGGCAGATTGATCTCGGGAGGGGGGGAATTTACACTTAAGGGGCAAGCATGTAGATTAGTGCTCATTTTTTATTTGGGGGGGGGGGGGGGGGGAATTTGCTGATACATAATACTCATACACCTTTGGGGGGGGGGTGTAGTTTGGAATGTTCGCCCTGGGCTCTAGATGACCTTGTCCTGGCACGGGAGGGGGGGGGGGGGGGGGGGGGGGGGGGACAAAGAAAGGAAGAGATGGGGGGAGGAGTCACAACAGAAAAAAAAAAACGGGGGAAGGAAATCCATTAAAACCCAACTGGAAACCTGGAGGAGGGGAATATTAGAGAAAGAGGCGGAGTGACTTATATAACCCAATCAAAGAAGAGGGAGAGAGAAGGGGGCGGGACTGAGATGACGGACCAAGAAAATGAAACAGAATACGAGATGAAGGACGGAGAAGAGTCCACACATTAATACGGGATTGTCTTCCAGAAGACGTCACATCCAGGACGGTGAATATCGCACACATAGGCCGTCAGGGACCTCTCACCTTCATCGGTATCGCTGTCTGAGTCCTGACCAATCAGCTCGCTCTTCCTCTCCAGCGCCTGTTCCAGAGCCGCCTGCAGCTTCCGGGGGGGTAACAGAGCGTCCTCGTCATCCATCTGCCAATCAGGAGACAAGGATGGAGCTCAGTGACTGGACTGGGATAGAAAGGTTTACTAATGATACTTCAAGTGGATCTAAACCCAAAACATACACTATATTGCCCAAAGTATTGGCCCCGCCCTCCATATCATGTGATCCAGGTGTTCCAATCCCCTCCCAATCATGTGATTCAGGTGTTCCAATCCCCTCCATATCATGTGATCCAGGTGTTCCAATCCCCTCCATATCATGTGATTCAGGTGTTCCAATCCCCTCCATATCATGTGATTCAGGTGTTCCAATCCCCTCCATATCATGTGATTCAGGTGTTCCAATCCCCTCCATATCATGTGATTCAGGTGTTCCAATCCCCTCCATATCATGTGATCCAGGTGTTCCAATCCCCTCCATATCATGTGATCCAGGTGTTCCAATCCCCTCCATATCATGTGATCCAGGTGTTCCAATCCCCTCCATATCATGTGATCCAGGTGTTCCAATCCCCTCCATGGACACAGGTGTATACAATCATCTCTCCAGCTTTTGGCTTTCTTGAGAATTTTGCTTCAGATTTATCAAAAAGCATATAACATGAGGTCACACCTAAACAACACTTTCAATTGTATCCAATCAGGTGGGCCCTTGCACTACATAGTTGAAGGTAAATCTAAAAGAAATTGGACAGAAAATTGTATAGTGTATGGCCAGCCTAAGACAGATAAATGTATGTTGGAGCTTTCAGTTTTTTTGTGAGAAGTGATGTTCTGTATGGAGGATCTTACACTTACCTGTCTAATAAACCGATCGGAGCCAAGATTCACATCAGCGCCTAGAGGGAGACAAGAGACGTGTTCATTGTCCATCGGCACAGCCAACAATCTACAAGAGGCCATACATGTCAGTCCCATTAAAGTGTTTCTGGGAATTTTACGAATGATATTAAGGTCAAATCAAAAAAAGAAAAAAAGAAAAATTGGGCAAGTTAGAATATTCAAGATTGTTTTTGATGAGCCTCTAATGTAGTAAATCGAATCATGTTTTATTTCCAATTGGATCTTTTCAACTATCAAAGTCATTGATGGAATTTATTGATCGGAATGTGTTGAATTCTAGTCAAAAACAAAAAAACAGAAACCACCTTCTCAAACGTAGAGAAACCATCCAAACATTCATCTTAAACCGAAAAAAACAATGAAAAATAAATGTATTGTGGTCACTATAGATGGGCGATCTTCAAGGCTACCCCAGTATCCCCGATACCTTTATAAAAGATTGACCAAAAGAAGATCATCACACCTCCATGACTGCCCCAACACTAACAAGACCAACACACCTTCTCCTTTACAACACTAAGAAGACCATACAATCATCTCTGAGACCATCACACCCTCCATGACTGCCCCAATACTATCAAGACCATACAACCATCTCTGAGACCATCACACCACCTCCATGACTGCCCCAATACTATCAAGACCATACAACCATCTCTGAGACCCATCACACCTTCTCCATTACAACACTAACAACACCATACAATCATCTCTGAGACCATCATACCTTCTCCATTACTGCCCCAATACTGTCAAGACCATTCTAATAATAAAGAGACCATATGACCATCCCCAAGCCCATCCCACATTCTCTAAGATTGTCCCAACATCCCTGAGACCATCCAAACATCCCTTGAGATCATCATGAATTCTTCAAGACTTACAATAACAAGACCATCCAAACAACTCTGAGACAAATCAAATATTCCCATCATTGTTCCAACCATAACAAGATCATCTCAACTTTCCTGTGACCCACACATTCTCCAATACTGCCCCAGCGATAACAAGACCATCCAAACATCCAGGAGAACATCATACCCTCTATATTACTGCTCTAACAACAACAAGATCGTTCCAACATCCATGAGACTGTCATACCTTCTCTATTACTTCTCAAACAACAAGACCATTCAAACATCCCTGAGACCATCACACCTTTCAAATACTTCACTAACAATACCAAGACCATCACTATATCCCTGAGACCATCACCCACCCCAAGACCATCCCACATTCTCTAAGATTGTCCCAACATCCCTGAGACCATCCAAACACCCATGAGATCATCACATATTCTCCAAGACTTACCTAACAATAACGAGACCATCCAAATATCCCTGAGACAATGACATGCTTCCCAGAATTGTTCTAACCATAACAATCATCATCTCAACCTTCCTGGCACTCTTGGAGACCTTCTTCAAGATTGTCCCAACAATAAACAAGACTATGCAAACATCATCACTTATTACCCCAAGACTGTCCTAATAATAAAAAGAGCATCTGAAAATCCCAGAGACCATCAAAAACTCACCATGTCTGTTCTAATAAAAAAAGAGAACATCTGACCATTCCACATTCTCCAAGATTGTCCCAACATTCCTGAGACCATCCAAACATCCATGAGATCATCATGTATTCTCCAAGACTTACCTAACAATAACAAGACCATCAATCTACAAGTTTACCAGAATTGTTCCAACCATAACAAGATCATCTCAAACTTCCTGAGACCTTCTCCAAGATTGTCCTAACAATAAACAAGAGCATCCCAGCTTCCTTTAGACCATCGCACATTCTCCATTACTGCCCCAATGATAACAAGACTATTCCAAACATCCCTGAGACCATCACACCTTCTCCGTTAATGCCCCAACAACAGCAAAATCATTCAAACATCCCTGAAACCATCACACCTTTCAAATACTTCACTAACAATAACAAAACTATTTCAGCTTCCTTGAGACCATCTCATATTCTCCATTACTGCCCCAAAGATAACAAGACCATTCAAACATCCCTGAGGTCATCACACATGTTCCTTTACTGCCCCAAAGATAACAAGACCACCCAAACATCCCTGAGGTCATCCAAACATCCCTGAGGTCATCACACATGTTCCTTTACTGCCCCAAAGATAACAAGACCACCCAAACATCCCTGAGGTCATCACACATGCTCCTTTACTGCCCCAAAGATAACAAGACCAACCAAACATCCCTGAGGTCATCACACATGCTCCTTTACTGCTCCAAAGATAACAAGACCACCCAAACATCCCTGAGGTCATCACACATGCTCCTTTACTGCCCCAAAGATAACAAGACCAACCAAACATCCCTGAGGTCATCACACATGCTCCTTTACTGCCCCAAAGATAACAAGACCATCCAAACATCCCTGAGACCATCACACATGCTCCTTTACTGTGCCAAAGATAACAAGACCATCCAAACATCCCTGAGGTCATCACACATGTTCCTTTACTGCCCCAAAGATAAGACCATCCAAACATCCCTGAGGTCATCACACATGCTCCTTTACTGCCCCAAAGATAACAAGACCACCCAAACATCCCTGAGGTCATCGCACATGCTCCTTTACTGCCCCAAAGATAACAAGACCACCCAAACATCTCTGAGATCATCACACATTCTCCATTACTGCCCCAACACTTACAAAACCATTCAAACATCCCTGAGACCATCACTCACCCAAAGACCATCCCACATTCTCTAAGATTGTCCCAACATCCCTGAGACCATTCAAACATCTATGAGATCATCATGTATTCTCCAAGACTCTCCTAACAATAACAAGACCATCCAAACATCCCTGACACAATCACAAGTTTCCCATAATTGTTCTAACCATAACAAGATCATCTCAACCTTCCTGAGACCTTCACCAAGGTTGTCCTAAAAATAAACAGGACCATCCAAACATCATCACTCGTTACCCAAGACTGTCCTAATAATAAAAAGACCATCTCAAAATCCCAGAGACCATCAAAAATTCACCAAGTCTGTTCTAATAATAAAGACCATCACCAACCCTAAGACCATCACACATTCTGTGAGATGGTCCTGACATCCTTGAGATCATCCAAATATCCCTGAGACCATCGTGTATTTACCAAGACTTACCCAACAATAATGAGACCATCCAAACATCCCTGAGACCATTACAAGTTTTCTATAATTGTTCTGACAATAACAAGATCATCTCAACCTTCCTGAGACCTTCTCCAAGAATGTTCTAACTATAAAGGGCCAAAAGTCATCGCTAATTATCCAATACAGTCCTAACAATAATAGGACCAACATCCCTGAGACCAGTCTGTCTCATCAATAATGAGACAATCCAGCATTTCTGAGACCAGTCTGTCTCATCAATAATGAGACAATCCAGCATTTCTGAGACCAGTCTGTCTCATTAGTAATGGAATCATCCCAGAACTTGTTCAACCATTACACATTCTCCGAGGCTGTTCTATTGAGACCACCTCATCATCCTAGGAAACTGCACATGGAATAATAAAAAAACACCACAATATAAAAAACAACAGGTAGCAGCTAAAGCTTTGTCACATTATACTCCTCCATGAATGACAATAACCAGGAGTGAGAAGGAACCGAGAATATGTATTTATCTGAACATTCAATGCAGTTGGGTCGTGACTTACCTCTTCCACAGGCAGCTCCTTTAGCTTGGGCAGCGAACTGGACAAAAGACCAACCAAGAAGGGTGTTGGGCAGCAGACGATGTCAATCATGGAGGAGGGCAGGACAGGGATGAAGGTGTGTTGCCATGAGAATGGGTACAGGAGGGCCACCACGGCATGAGAGCAGCTGGACAGGGTGCTGGAGACAGAAAGGACAGGTGGGGTTACCCCGGGGTCACCAGTAATTACATTCATATAATGCTTCATAGACTCTACATCTGACTTTCTACATATTACATTTATTCTATGAACAATATTTTCATCCTTATTACATTATATTATTATTATTCTCTAAAGCTCTTGTCTCCTCCCATGCTCTTCTCCAGGACTTCTCTAGAGCCTCTCCCATCCTCTGGAACTCCCTACCTCAGTCTGTCTTGCTATTTCCTACTCTGGCCACCTTTAGACGATCCCTCAAAACTCATCTCTACAGATAAGCCGATCCCACCTTTACCTAACAACTTCAACTTTATGTTTTCCATCAGCTGATCCCTCACAGTTATTACCTTTTGTACCACTTGCCCCTTCCTATTAGATTGTAAGCTCCTATGAGCAGGGCCCTCTGAACCCTTCTGTGTTTTATTGTATTGTAACTGTCCCTTTATATTGTAAAGTGCTGCGCAAACTGATGGCACCATATAAATCCTGTATGGCAGTAATATTATTATTATTATTCAAAATACACGATATTGCCCCAAGTATTGGGCCGCCGGCCTTTCCACACACATGACCTGTAATGTCCTCCCAGTCTTAGTCTGTAGGGTTCAATATTGAGTTGGCCCCGCCCATTCCACGCACATGACCTGTAATGTCCTCCCAGTCTTAGTCCGTAGGGTTCAATATTGAGTTGGCCCCGCCCTTTCCAAACACATGACCTTTAATGGCCCCCCAGTCTTAGTCCGTAGGGTTCAATATTGAGTTGGCCCCGCCCTTTCCACACACATGACCTTTAATGGCCTCCCAGTCTTAGTCCGTAGGGTTCAATATTGAGTTGGCCCCGCCCTTCCCACACACGACCTTTAATGGCCCCTCCCAGTCTTAGTCCGTGGGGTTCAATATTGGAGTTGGCCCCGCCCTTTGCAGCTATAACAGCTTCACCTCTTCTGGGAAGGCCATCCACAAGGTTTAGGAGGGTGTCTATGGGAAGGTTGGACCATTCTTCCAGAAGCACATTTGTCAGGTCAGGCACTGATGTCGGGGGAGGAGGCCTGGGAGGAGTCTCCGCTCTAATTCATCCCAAAGGTGTTCTATGGGGTTGAGGTCAGGACTCTGTGCAGGACAGTCAAGTTCCTCCACCCCAAACTGGCTCCTCCATGTCTTTATGGACCTTGCTTTGTACACTGGTGTGCAGTCATGTTGGAGCAGGAAGGGGCCATCCCCAAACTCCTCCCACAAAGTTGGGAGCAGGAAATTGTCCAAAATGTCGCCTTAAGAGTTCCCTTCACTGGAACTAGGGGGCCAAGTCCAACCCCTGAAAAAAACACCCCCACACCATAATCCCCCCCCTACCAAACGTTACACTTGGCACAATGCAGTCATGCAAGTATCGTTCTCCTGGCCACCGCCAAACACACAGACATGTCCATTGGATTGCCAGACAGAGAAGTGTGATTGGTCTCTCCAGAAAACACATCTCCTCTGCTCTAGAGTCCAGTGGCGGTGTGCTTTACACCTCGGCATCCGACGCTTTGCATTGCACTTGGTGATGGAAGGCTTGGATGCAGCTGCTCGGCCACGGAAACCCATTCCATGAAGCTCTCTACGCACTGTTGTTGGGCTCATCTGAAGGCCACACCAAGTTTGGAGGTCTTTAGCTATTGACTCTGCAGACAGTTGGCGACTTCTGCGCACTGTGCGCTTCAGCATACGCTGACCCCGCCCTGTCATGTGACGTGGCCTACCACTTGGTGGCTGAGTGGCTGTTGTTCCCAGTTGCTTCCACTTTGTTATAATCCCACTAACAGTTGAGCGTGGAATATTTAGTAGCCAGGAAATGTCACGGATGGACTTATTGCCCAATTGGCCACCTATCACGGGACCACGCTTGGAGTCACTGAGCTCCTGAGAGCGACCCATTCTTTCACCAATGTTTGTAGAAGCCGTCTGCATGCCTAGGGGCTTGATTGTATACACCTGTGTCCATGGAGGGGATTGGAACACCTGAATCACATGATATGGAGGGGATTGGAACACCTGAATCACATGATATGGAGGGGATTGGAACACCTGAATCACATGATATGGAGGGGATTGGAACACCTGAATCACATGATATGGAGGGGATTGGAACACCTGAATCACATGACTGGGAGGGCGGTGCCAATACTTTTGCCAATATAATGTAATAGTTGACCCCTGCAGAAAATAGATTAATAACCTCCGATGTGACCCCTGTAAGTGTTATCCAGCAAATAAACGTGACAATCTTGGCAGTCGCAAGTATTTGGAAAAGAGCGGATATAGTGAATGCGGGGTCCGGGGGGAGCGGATTTAATGAATGCGGGGTCTGGGGAGAGCGGATATAGTGAATGCGGGGTCCAGGGAGAGCGGATATAGTGAATGCGGGGGTCCGAGGAGAGCGGATATAGTGAATGCGGGGTCCGGGGAGAGCGGATATAGTGAATGCGGGGTCCGGGGAGAGCGGATATACTGAATGCGGGGTCCGGGGAGAGCGGATATAGTGAATGCGGGGTCCGGGGAGAGCGGATATAGTGAATGCGGGGTCCGAGGAGAGCGGATATAGTGAATGCGGGGTCCGGGGAGAGCGGATATAGTGAATGCGGGGTCTGGGGAGAGCGGATATAGTGAATGCGGGGTCCGAGGAGAGCGGATATAGTGAATGCGGGGTCCGGGGAGAGCAGACATAGTGAATGCGGGGTCCGGGGGGAGCGGATTTAATGAATGCGGGGTCCGGGCAGAGCGGATATAGTGAATGCGGAGTCCGGGGAGAGCGGATACAGTGAATGCGGGGTCCGGGGAGAGCGGATATAGTGAATGCGGGGTCCTGGGAGAGCGGATATAGTGAATGCGGGGTCGGGGAGAGCGGATATAGTGAATGCGGGGTCCGGGGAGAGCGGATATAGTGAATGCGGGGTCCGGGGGGAGCGGATATAGTGAATGCGGGGTCCGGGGAGAGCGGATATAGTGAATGCGGGGTCCGGGGAGAGCGGATATAGTGAATGCAGGGTCCGGGGAGAGCGGATACAGTGAATGCGGGGTCCGGGGAGAGCGGATACAGTGAATGCGGGGTCCGGGGAGAGCGGATACAGTGAATGCGGGGTCCGAGGAGAGCGGATATAGCGAAATGCGGGGACCGGGGAGAGCGGATATAGTGAATGCGGGGTCCGGGGAGAGCGGATATACTGAATGCGGGGTCCGAGGAGAGCGGATATAGCGAATGCTGGGTCCGGGGGGAGCGGATATAGTGAATGCGGGGTCCGGGGGGAGCGGATATAGTGAATGCGGGGTCCGGGGAGAGCGGATATAGTGAATGCGGGGTCCGGGAGAGCGGATATAGTGAATGCGGGGTCCGGGGAGAGCGGATATAGTGAATGCGGGGTCCGGGGGGAGCGGATTTAATGAATGCGGGGTCCGGGGACAGCGGATATAGTGAATGCAGGGTCCGGGGACAGCGGATATAGCGAATGTTGGGTCCGGGGGGGAGCGGATATAGTGAATGCGGGGTCCGGGGAGAGCGGATATAGTGAATGCGGGGTCCGGGGGGAGCGGATATAGTGAATGCGGGGTCCGGGGAGAGCGGATATAGTGAATGCGGGGTCCGGGGAGAGCGGATATAGTGAATGCGGGGTCCGGGGGGGCGGATATAGTGAATGCGGGGTCCGGGGGGGGGGGGGGTGGATATAGTGAATGCCGGGTCCGGGGTTTAGTAACACTTTAAGCATTCATTTTTGTATAAGATGTATCTATTTTTACCAATCATCAGACTTTTGACCTTTCTTTGAATGATACGATCAGACAGGGAGAATCCTGACAGCTGCTCTTCCTCCATCCGCACAATGATGTGGAGTCATTGGTGAGAAGTGATGGCGGAGGTCACACCAGGACTGCCAAGGTCTCACCACCAGGACTGGGGTGTCATGCCTGCAATCGCCTGGAGGGGGGCAGCAAGGTTCTGATCGCAGGGTTGAGGAGCTCCTTATGCCAGAAGGCGACATGCAGGCTCATCATTGCCCAGAGCAGCCAATCAGAATTCAGCTTTTACTCTTCTCGGACGTCTCACGTTACTCGTTATCACGATCCCCAGCATGCTCTGATTGTTTATAAAGACAGATCGGGTCATTTGTTAGAGCCAATGAAATCATTTCCCGACATTCACCTTTCCATGAATTATTCGTATTGTGCAGCTGCTGCTCGATGGATTCACTTTGGCAGATCTGATCCTCGGCCGGGTCTCTGGCTGGACACACATTATACAATTTACTTTTTTTTTATTTACCAAAAATCATACAGAATGAGGTCAAACCTGAACCAAACGTTCAACATTCATGCAGTCAGGCCGGCCCTTGTACTGCACAGCTGAAGGTGAATCGATTGTACAGAAATTGTCCAAGAAAGTTGTATAATGTATGGCCAGACTTTGTTGCTGCCGGTGTCCCCACTGGGGAGGATTCCCCTCCCTTCTGGTCTATATCTCACAGCAGGGAGGACTCCATTCTGCACAGTGCTGGGTCTGAGGCGGTGGTTTCTGTGTGCAGTCAGTTCCCACGCTCTGCGTCTGCGGTGATCCTGGAATATAGTGACCCGCTGGGCGAGGAGGGGGGGGCGGGGTGGAGGAGAGGTCAATGCATGGGGTCCATGAGACTGAGGAGGGGGGCGGGGTGGAGGAGAGGTCAATGCATGGGGTCCAGGTGACTGAGGAGGGGGGCGGGGTGGAGGAGAGGTCAATGCATGGGGTCCATGAGACTGAGGAGGGGGGCGGGGTGGAGGAGTGAGGTCAATGCATGGGGTCCAGGTGACTGAGAGGGGGAGGAGGTGGAGGAGAGGTCAATGCAGGGGGTCCATGAGGACTGAGGAGGGGGGCGGGGAGGCAGGAGGAGAGGTCAATGAATGGAGGAGGAGGAGGGAGGTAGGAAGAGGAGGAGGAGGACGGAGGAGGAGAAGAGGAGGAGGAGGAGGAGG